AACAACGGGTTCCAGGATACCGTCCTCGATATCTCCATTCTCGAACTTCTTGAACAGTGGCCGCATGTTCTCCCGCGACTGTACCATAGCGTTATAAGCCTGCTTCCCCTGAAAGGTTTGCTTGACAGAATCATCTCGCTGGGCCAGGGCGATCTCCCATTCCTTGAGGACGAGTGTGAAGTATGAGGCCAGCTGTCTGAACAGGTACCGTTTCCCTTCTTCGTCGGCAGGCAGCTTATCAGGCACCTTCATATCGGCCTCTGGTACCAGCTCTAGGGTGGTAGGAATTGGTCCATCCGTAAGCTTCTTCCTGTTCTGCTCTGGGTTGACGAGATTTCTGTATCTCCTCAGCCTCCCCTTGTGGCTCTCTCCAAAGAGCCGTGCTGGTTCCCCAAGCTCCCGCAGCTTCCCAACCAGCTCGTCATCATCCAGATCCTCGCCGTCCTGGATAGTTGTCCCATCCTTCTCGCTGCTGGATTCATCTTCAGCCAGTCCTAGGCGCTTGCGGCGCTCTTTTTCTCGCGCTTCTTCCTCCGCCTCTCGTCGTGCCCTCGACTCTTCGGCGAGCCGTCTGCGTTTCTCCTCTCGTCGGCGGTTCTGTTCCGCTTCTTCTTCATCTCGCCTCCGCTTGAGTTCGGCTCGTTCTTCTCGTTCTCGCTGCAGTTTCTCCTGTTCAGCGTTGTAGGCCGCCACGCGAGCTGCCTCGATGTCAGACCGTTTGGTGTATTTCTTCTCCGCGGCGTCTGACTTGGCCTTGGATATCTCCTTGGACATAAGAGAGGCAAAGTCCATCGTGTAGTCTGCGTAGCCCTCCCAGCTGTCGTGGTCAATCGTCTGTCTGCTATGAATCTCAAGTTGGTCGCCGTTGGTTGTTCGTTCGCTCGGTCGTTTGTCGCCAGCTTTTGCTTTTTCTTTCCTTTCTCGGTCGTGAGGACTTCTATCTCAACCTAACCAACTAGTTAACTGCCAGCTCACTAGTTATTATTCAATCCAGACACACATTTACCTACGTCTTCATACAATCTACGCGCGTTAGCCCTTTTCACTGGCTTATACGTGCTTGGACATTGCTATTATACAGAAATCTCACGGTTGAACAGGTCTCGCGATCTGTTGCCGCGAGCTTTGACCGTGGTAAATAACCCCAACAGCAGCTTTGACACGCCGTTCAACACTTATCTAAATCCCTTTAATCTCTCGATACTGATATAAGGGCCTTGGAGAGTGTATACCTTGACTTTCCCACCGGACATTCCTTGAGAGGCGTGTACCTGTCATGGCTTCGGGAGAGGAGGCTCTCAAGATTGATCGCGAAAAGACAACGCCCTTCCACCTAAAGCTCTTCTACCGCCAGAACTCCTTTCACTCACTGTCGGACTTCCCTATCCTATCTGCACCGTCTACAGGTGAGAATGGAACAGTCGCAAACCCTCCGCTTCCTCCACATCTTCAGATATACACCTGGCAGTCGTGTTCTCTTCGCGAGCTGGCGCATCTGCTCACATCAACACTACCCGCCTTGCTCCCCGACCCTGCGGTAGGCACGCGATTGAGCTTCCGGCTAGTTTACCCTGACACAAGGAGCCAGCCTAGCGGTCGACCGGGCGACGTGGGGGATGGGCGCGGGAAATACATCAGCAAAGATATAGGAAGTGTCATCATAAGACCGAAAAAGGTTGAAGATGAAGGTGAAGGAATAACACTTGAAGGTGATGAGGCGGACAAGGTGCTGCATGACGTGCGGTTTGTGATAGGGGACTACATTGACTGTGCTATACTACCGCCCCTCGCTGACGGGTCTGTGGCTCCCCCGTTACCCTCTCGCGGACCGTCCACCTCTTCAGTGGGAGGAGGCATGCGCGCATTTGGAGGGGGCCCGTTTTCGCGGGACTCTACATTATCGCGGTCGAGATATGGGCCAGGGAGGAGTGGAATAATGTATGGATCTAATCAAGCCAGCGTCCCCAGTGGAGAGTGGAGGAGAGGAGAAAGGATACCAGACGGCAGTGGGCGCGCATACGGTAGGGGATCAAGAGATGGCGGACGGCCTTATTAAACGGTTGGACGTGCTTCTCTACCTCTGGTGGTTGCAAGAGATAACAATGCAGCATTCATGATTCTACAGAAGCTTTATGGAGGCATACGACAACAACATGCATCGTCCTCACTATATCAATGGACAAGTATAATCAAAATGACATATATGCCTGTATGCTTCGATATGAGGCGCAATCCAGTAGTAAAAGCACGTTATCTGGCACTAGTTTGATTGATGCTCAACAGTGTTGTTATAATACAAAGACAAACAGTACGCAGCTTCAGCCAGCACACTCAAGACCGCTTGTTATTCAGTCCAAGATATACACTGGATGCCTCTGATCGAAAGTCCGTAGTGTTGCGTCACCATGCACGCTCACTTCCAAGTCATCCCACTTCAAAATTCGGCAATAGTGTCCCCTCTCCTCTTCCCTCGGAAGTTGTATTTACCCTAGACGGGTTAAGTTAAGTTAGAATCGCGTTGTAATTGGGTATGGATATGGTAGGATGTTGCACCCACATCTGTTTTGTAGGAGATGTAGCCGATGATGCCGGGGATGACGGCCATGTAGCAGAACGACAGCCATGCGGTACGGGGGGTCCACCTGAAATACTTGTAGCGGTTCTTGTGCGTGTCTGTGCAGAGGTTAGTATGTATGCTGCGGGATATACAGCTGTTAATAGCATCGACTGCCACGGATCAGTCGAAGGAATAGGCCGAAGGGTGCTGACCGTAGTATTTCTGCAGCGCAGGGTCAAGGTGAAGATCTATCAATTGGGTCAGTAAAACGGTGCCACGAAGCATCAAACATTTCTGCCTCCCTCTCCAGCATGAACTTACTCGACGGTCCCGCCATGCTTGCTGTTGTCTTTGCTGTCGCTTCTCTCTCGTTCGTCCTCGCCTTCGCCTTCGCCTTTTTTTCCTTTGACGTTGAAGGTCGGCTTGTTTTCTTGGCGCTATTTGCCGCGTCAAGCGCGCTGGCGGCTAAATCTAAAGAACAAAAAGTGACAAAAAGTCAACGACGACGACGATGATGTTGAAAATAAGGACAAGGATTATACGGAAAGGAGTGGAAGAGGATGTCGCTTTACTTTGAGGCTGCGGCTGTTCTCAGTGGGCCGTCGCACGCCGGCTCGCTCAAGTCGAGAGTCTACACAGGAAAGTGGAAGTCTCCTCCAGCCCAGATTTACGCTCTGATAGTCGAGGTCGCAAAGTACAACGAGTGCATCAAGGAGGTCATAGACAATGCCGGCATCCTGGCGCATGAATCAAAGGTCAGTCAGGCTTACTCCTTTGCATTCACAGTATCAATTGGGTTTGCTGCTAACGAGAACAAGGTGATGTGAGCAGTTAACTCCCATTCTGTCGCTTCTACTCGTCCATGACTTTCTACTGTCCAAGAGGGGCATTGCAGCTCCCTCGAATCATCCCCTTCGCCTGGCTGTAGAGCGCCACAAGTCTCGCCTTAATGCTGAACTTACAAAGTTGCGAGTTCGCCGAGGATGCGCCTCAAAGGAGGAATTGAAGCATAAGCTGGTGCAGGACCAGCAGGTGATGAAGACATTCTCACCTAGATGGATACGAATAAATAACGTGTTGACGACATTGGATCATGAGATGAAAAGTACTTTCGCTGGCTATGAGTCTGCGAGTTCCTTATCCGAGCTTGCGGAAGCCACACCAGATGAGAAGAAGTACTGCTTGGACGAACACATACCAGACCTTATGGCCATCAGTCGTGACATCGACATCACTTCTTCATCTGCATATAAAGAAGGAAGACTTATATTACAGGACAAAGCTTCTTGTTTCCCCGCCTACTTGCTACTGGGGGACCATCCAGGGCAGTGGAAGGGAGACCTTATTGATGGCTGTGCCGCTCCGGGAAACAAGACAACGCATCTCGCTTCGTTGCTCTCTTCTACTCCAGAGAAGCAAAAGAATAGGGTATTTTCTCTAGATGCATCCCACTCGCGATCCAAGATCCTGCAGACAATGGTGAAAAAGGCCGGCGCGAGTAACATAGTGACAGTTTTACCTGGGCAGGACTTTTTAGCCCTTGACCCGGCTGACACGCGGTTCCAGCATGTCACTGCTCTCCTGCTTGATCCCAGCTGTTCAGGTAGTGGGATTACGAAGCGTGAAGACGTCCCGCAACTCGACCTGCCCAAGTCAAAGTCTGAACTTACGCTTGCTACTACGGGCAGCAGCAAAGGGTCGAAGAATCGGAAAAGAAAACGAGAGAACCCAGCGGATTCATCATCCCCGGGTAGCTCACCTACAACAGAAGCAAAAGAAGATGAGAGTGAACGGCTAGCTAAGCTTGCTAATCTGCAAAGCCAAATCGTGGAGCATGCATTTGGCTTCCCAGCGGCTACCCGCGTTACTTACAGCACCTGCTCCATACACCACAAGGAGAACGAGGATGTTGTCGCTCGTGTGCTAGCCTCATCTATCGCAAAAAATCTTGGCTGGAGACTTGAGTTACGGTCAGAGCAGGCAAGGGGCCTTCGGAACTGGCATCACCGCGGGATTTTACCTGGCGATACCTCAGAACGCCCACCCCAGCTTTCTCCCGAACAGACAGAGGCTTGCATTCGATGTTGGCCTGCTGGGGATGAAGGCACTGGGGGTTTTTTTGTAGCGATCTTTGTGCGGGAAGAAATTGAGGGCAAAGTAGGAGGTGATGAAGACAACGACGAAGAATACGATGATGTCTGGGAGGGCTTCAGTTCTAGTTAAGGTCGTGGCATTCAAATACCAGACATGATGCTTAAATTTAGTGTCTTGACTCATGTTGATTTCAAGACAAGCTTTGATACGAGCGGGTAACTCGTTAATTAATTAGTTACTTATATTTTCGAGCCAAAACTGGCTCGTAAGAACTGCTCAATGAATGTACCACCAGACAGCTAGTCCATACACTTTAATCATATTCTACTTCTACGACTAGTGATAGAGAATGGACTCCTTTACTTTCTCTATGCAGCCGCCAGCACAGGGAATAACCGGGCTCAACTCCAATAAACAGCCACAATATCCCATCTTTAATGACGGCCTACAAGTACGCATGACTGTGTTCGTCGATGAGCAGAACTGTGACCCGGAGAACGAGGTCGACGCCGACGACGATCGAAGCTGGCATTGGCTTGTATATGCTGGTGACGTTGATGGCGGCTGCAAGGCTGTAGGCGTGGTTCGCCTTGTCCCGCCACCGCATGGAGGGCATCAGCACCAACATGAGAGCGGAAAGCCGTTTGTCAAGATTGGTCGACTGGCCGTTCTGCCTACTTATCGAGGGAAAGGGCTTGCTCGAAGATTAGTCGAGATGGCGCTGGAATGGGCGGCTGAGCATAAGTTGGACGTGGGCGGTGGATGGGAGGGCTTGGTTTTGATACATGCCCAGACGGATGTGGAGGCAATGTATGCTCGGCTGGGCTTCGAGACCGACAAGAGCCTGGGGCAGTGGGATGAAGAAGGCATCCTGCATGTTGGGATGTGGAAGATGCTGGAGTTATGAATTTACGCGGCCTACGTTGGGGGGCATTGAGGTTGAATATAGATTCGTCGATTTGGACATAGACAGAACGGCCGTGTGCTCAGTAACGAAATAGACAAACAGAAGAAAGGAAAAATAAGAAGATAAAGAAGAAGGAAGAAGGAAGAAGGAAGAAGAAATAGACAAGGAGAAAATGAAATCTATATGCATGGAGGACCGGGAAACCTCGTTCAGACAGCCGTAATCAAAAGACGAACAGAATGAGCTAAACAGACACACAGTCATATCCTGGATGGAAGCATGTGAACCATGAGAGCAAGACGAAAGTAAAGAACAGAGAGCAACGAGCCGGGAGAGCCCAAGTCAAGTCAGCAGGATTGCAGGCTCGAGACAACGTCAAAGGGGGTATCAATTGTAACAGAAAAAAAGAGGAGAGTAAAATCAGTGAGTCGGTTAGAAGGTGCTCCAGCTCCAGTCCCTGGGTACACTGGTGGCAATCATACCGTCCTGATTCTCATCTGAATCTGCGTCTGGGTCGGCAATGCTTAGCCGGTCAGCCTCTATGGCCCATCCCCGGCTACGCTCGGGGGCATTGAGATTGGCGATCAAGTTGTGCTGAATCTGGTTGAGCTGGTCGGTGCGAGCCTGCTCCCAGCGGCGGTAGGCAGCCCAGCAAAGGTCGCAGCTGCGTGAGGGGATGCCATCCGGGTGAAATCTGGCATTTTGGTCGAGTGGGATGGTGTAGGGGGTGTGGGAGGAGCAAAAGACATGGCCGCAGTGCCGGCAGTGATGGCGGCGTACAAAGATGCCAAAGAAGGATTTGCACACGGGAGAGTCGCAGGACGGAGAAGCCGAGTCAGCCTACTACCTGTTAGCTGTCGTGCGTACTCTTGTACCCGGTATATCAAGGTACGTATGTTGAGATAAGGGGAGGGGGGAATCTACCTTCCAGTGCTCCCTAGTAGGCGAGCCAGTGACCTCTCCAAGATTCTGGTCCCGCAGCCACTCGTCCTGGGCGAGTCTGCTGACGCCGCTGCGAGTGCTGTCGACCGTCGACCGGCGAGATAGGTTTTCTGTAGGCGTGATGCTGCCGTCTTGCCCGTCCTGGCCGTCGACAGAGCCGTGGACGCTACGCGGCGGCGTGAGAGGCGAGGGCTTTGGAGGCCTCTCGGTTCGACGCAGGGCCGCGGGGACGTAGAGAGGCGTCTTGAGCGGCCGCAGCTGGCGCGACTGGCCCTGGAGAGGCTGATGGGGGAGCTGAGGCTGCGCGCTCATCGGCCCCGGCGAGGAGGGCGAGTTGTTCGTGGGCGTTGCGGAGGCCGAGTTGGCTGGGGATGGCTGGCCATCGGGGGCATGCCGCGAGGCGGAAGCGTTGGCGGTGGACACTTGCATCGACGGTCGTTGCCTTGATATCTGCTTGCTGCCTGGATGTCGTTTGATGTCTTCCTTTTCCTTGTCTTCTTCTGCTGGCCGCTTCTGCTCGTCTGGTTGTTGTTTGGCCTCGCCGTCGCTTGTGCTGGTTTGGTTGTTCGATTGTTTCTTTCGACTTGTGGGCGAAAAAGAAAGAAAAAAGGCGTATTTTTCCCCGGACTTTTGGTACAAGACGGTATGTTACGACACATTACAGGTTAAAATAGAAGATCCCATAAGGGGTAAATGCTGTAATTACAATACAGTGTATGAATCATACGATCCCGGGGACGGCAAAAAGCAATATTAGATTACATCATAGTATATTTTTGTTTGTAGATTTTTAATATCGACAGGAAGGAAAAGACGGTCAAGAGACGAAGGACCGACGAGCATTGCGGGCTCGCTGGCTGGAGTGAGCCTCAAGCTTGACGGCGACGAAGACAACCTCCATCTGGCTCGTGCCGGTGCTGGCATTGGTGCTGGGATGGACTCGCAGTCGCCACTGGCCACGATCGACCACCCACTGGCGGCTCCTCTCGCTGCCGTCGACCCTGCGGCGCTTGCGGGGCAGCTGCTGGTTGGGCTGGACAGCGGCGGCAGACGGTGTCTGGAGGCGGGGGTAGAGGCCAGATGGAGTTAATGGGGGTGCATTGCCTTCCATGGGCGAGTAACCAGCGGGAGCTTCTGCCGGTTGGAATGTGCTGTTGTTGGAGCCGTTGGAGGTGGTATCGTAGTTGTTGTTGGGGCTAAAGGGCTCGCCATCGAGGGTGATGTCTGTACTTGAGTCAATGTGGATCTTGATCCTATCTCCGGTCAAAGCAGTGTTGCTACCGTTGGCAGGGCTGTTATTGCTGCTGCTGCTATTTCCGGGTGTCACCGTAAGGCTCAGGGGAGTGTTGGTGGGTAAATTCATCTTGTTAGAAATGACCTGGCACAGGCTGGTGACACGAGCTTTGGCCAGGCCGTGCAATTCGGCTCGCATGGTGGTCAAGTCGACAAGGGTGTTGCCGCCGCCAATTTCAATGATCAATTCACGATGATCATCATCCACAAACGGCCGGGCATAATGTATCCATCCTCCTGTAATAGTGCTGTTGGCATTGGGGTTGCTGCTGCCCTCTCCGTCAGGAACAAAGGTGATGCCAGACGGCCGGACGTCTTCGAGGCGTACGGTGATCTCGAACCGGCGTCTCTCCAGGTTATAGCTGATGTCATGGGGTATCAACTTCTGCTCGAGGCCACGCAAATGGTAGTAACGGCAATCTCGCAGCAGACATGCCCGATGCTCTTCGTCGCGGATGTGTACCGGGTAGCCACGCAACAAATGCAGCAGTTCGGCGAAGACGTCTCCAGACCGGCTGCTGACGATGGGAGGAGTGATGGAAGGCGGGCGCAGGAGGCCTTCGCGCTCGAGGCCCGGGAAGACGGCGGTAGGAGAGGCAAAGAATACGGCAAAGCCGAGGGAGAAGAAGTTGGGCGAGTCTCCCGGGCTAGAGAAGATATCTCGGGGAATCTGGAAGTGACGGTCTCCAATCTGGATGAAAATTTCGCACTCGAACAGCTGAGCTATCAAACGGGGCACTGTTACATGGCCTGTTAGCACCGCAACTATTTTTCC